TTTTGTATGTAGATACAACATAATGATTCCAAATAAAAATGTAAAAATTTAAATAAAATATAGCATTAATATATACAACGAGTAACAACATAATTGCTTTATAACTATGTGCTATATTCAAATTTTAATATTGACAGGGAAATTATATATTAACTAGACGCGAAACTGTTTCAAGGAATATAAAAGTGAGATTATAAAAACTTATAGAAAAGATTCTGTTCGTTTATTATGAAATTCAAAAATTGTTTCGTTTGAATTGTCCTACATAATTACATAAGCGCATTAATATTTATGTTATTCAAAACCCTTAATTCTGGCACATTCAGGTGTTGGATATATACGTGGAAGCAATGATGAATGGAGAAATTTAATAGGAAATCGCGTAGATACTGGCCAAGGTTCAAATGGTAGATAGAATCCCGCAATAATTCCAGATCCTCTTCGTCATCATTATCTTCATCTGCACCACCAAATTCTACAAAGGAATTGTATTTAATATCTTTGTATTTAATATCTTTTTATCAACAATTAAATTATCAACAATTGTACGACCTCGATATTGTTATATGAAACTTACGTAAAATATTTGCAGTTTCATTTCCAGGATCTATGAATTCATCATCATCTTCTTCTTCATCTTCATCAGAAACCTAGACATTGATAAGAGATTTTTGGTTAAATTTTTTTATTCTAAAATAAAGTATGAACAAAATTATGAAAAAGATTAGATACAAAAAATACAAAAGCATACAACCAATACTTACTTCTGTATCTTGGCTGGCACTAACGGCTTCGATATCGTTTGACAATTCGTTGATTATAACTTTAAAAATCTTTACAAGTACAGGCACCGTAGTCCATTCATAAGGCTGCGATTCGGCTTTGCTTCTGGTCCTCACACCATCTTCGATTCCTATATATTCCCGAATTATAACTTGCTATTTTGAGAAACACACAAATGTCTTTCGTAGAGCAAAATAACTTTGCCATGTAACGGTAATCTTACGCAAGGAATTATCGCAAGGAATATAAATAAATATTTATTTTTGCAAATAGAACCTATTCATAGCGTACAGAATAAAAAAAAATGAATTCAACTATATAATTTTATACTTTTCAAATTTAATATTTTTTATTAAAAAAAATTTAAGTCATTATATCTTCGTTAATTATTATAATCTCTTTATCTCAATGTATATAATTAAAATAATCTAAAAATATTACAAACCTGAAATTATCATGTCCCCCTTGACAGTGATTTCATCTAATCTACTATCGCCGTGAGTAACACCATATTCCAAAATTTTACACAATGCGATCGTGGCGACTTTGCGATCATATCTACCAAGAAACAGATGTTGTCTACTGACCCATTCAGATAATACAAATGCAAGTGCACTTTGTCCTGTCGGCCCGGGAACGGTTGACAAGAAATTCAGCACAGCATCAAATTGTGTATTTATAAGATGTGCGTAAATCATCAGCAAGCTTTGCATTACAATTAGTGTTTCCGCGCTTTGCATCTTGCTCAATACTGCTTTTAGCAACAGATCGAGATTCTCACCCAGACTATCTCCCACGTTTCTGATCAGTGTTGTGACCAAACGTCCAACAAAAGTGGCAGTAAATTCGCTCGACTGAAATTATCACATATACATATATTTATAAATAGTAAAAATGTCTAATTTTCCGGCAAGCTAAATAAATTGATATTTCCAGTAATGTTTTCACCTGAGGATTTAGAAGTTGAGCGATTATCTGCAGTATATATTGTAATCCAGTTTGTCCTTCGTTGTCTCTATGCGCAATGATGTGCTGTGCCGCCACGGATATATATGTGCGTATGAGTTCCCCACCGCTTTGCAGTGTTGCGTGGTCTTCCGAGTTGAGAATACAGTGACAAGCAGCCGGAAAAGCAATATTTATCAAAGCATTACTCAGAGGTGTCGGTGAATATTGCACTAGAACTTTCAGCACATCTAATGCCACAGCTCTAGATCCCTCTGACAGAAAAAATATAGAATTATATTCATGATAACATTACCGATAACAGCTTGACTTGGATAAAACGATAAAATTTAAAGTAAAACATATAGAAAAAAAGGAAGAACATACCATCCTTTGATTTATTCATAGGAGTTATTGCCATCATGCTCGTTAAAGTCGGTATTATACGAGATTGCAATGGTTCAATGCAACTTGGATTCTTTGTCAAATCCTTGAATATATCTTGGCATATGTCTAAAATCGTCGGGTCACTATGATACTTTACAAACACTGCAATTGTCAAAGGACAAATCTTGTTTTCCACTGATGCTGTAAATTCTTTATGTTGCTATAAACATAAATAAGATCCAAATAACTTAAATAAAAGAAAAAAATATGCCACAATAAAAATATATATGCAATAAGAAAGCATTAATATTACCCAGACTAATATTTGAAATGTTTCCATGACTAAAGTTAAAACTTCTGTGTTAGGTTGACTAATTATATTGAATAATCCTTGAAAAATGTTGGGCATATGGCAACGTATTATATTGATAATAGAATCTTTCTCATTAGATGCCTCGCTAAACCAATAGATCGCTTTAACAGCGCTAATGCGAATGCAAGGTGGTTGATTTTCCTGCAAACCATTAACTGTCGCTTCCAAAAAACGAGAACTCACTTCAGGTGGCATTATCTTTGCGTATCGTCCACCGAGACATAAACAGCGACCGAGAAGTAATGGAGGCGATCCTGAGATGTATAATATATATAATTTATTATACTTCAACACAATTATAAAATAAAAAAATGTAAACATAGAAATGAATAAGCATTTATCAAGATTGGATCTTAATACCTAATAATCTTATTTTTTTATATTTATACATATCCAACAGTATTTACTTTTTAACTATCAACAATCATGTGCTATTATTTTTAACGGATTTGCAGCGTAACAGACCAAAGGCAGAACAATATCTTTCTATCTTAATAAATAATGAATAATTTTATCTAATTTTTATCTAATGATATTGCTATAGCAATTAAAAATTTCCAAGAAATTTATCGCGAAAAATATCATTCCAAACAGGAGAAATGGCCAGTCAATTATTATAATTATCACCAAAATTCAATCATTATTATTATTATAATTATTTATGATAATCACCTGAATCATTTAACATTCCCAAAACAACTGTATCTAGAAATCTAATAATATCGAATTGCAATAGCCCAGTCTGTTGTTTTTCAATAACAATATTCTTAGAAAGACTCAATGCTAAAAGAGAGGATTCTCGTAATTTCCACCAACTTTCGTTGCTATTGCCACTATCGCCATTGAGTTGTAGTGTTTTTGTTGCTTCAATATGTTGCGTAACTACATCGCAAAGAGCATGCACCGCTTTCTCTTCAAAGTGATTGATAAGAGCCTGTAAATAGCAAGATATTAGTTTTTATGTTTTACTAAAAATGCGTACTGCAATGCAT